TGGGAAAAAATAAAGGAAGCCATGGAGACCAACTTCTAAGTCAGGGATACTTAAGCTTTGGCAAGTCTGATGACTCCCAAGGACCACTTCTCAGAATTATGTTTTTAAATATATAAATGCGTAGGGTTGCAAAGAAAGCAAATAATATTGAAATATAGTTATTAAAATGCATTTAAAAACAAGTTCACAGACTCTAGGTTAAGAATACTTGTAATTTAAGTTAAAGAAGGCTATAAGTTTGCATTGATGAAGGGAATATGAACACTTATGAATTCACGGGTTCTGGAAATAAGTTGAGAATAATAAATTTATAGCTGATAGGGACATCTGGTCCCACCCCCTGATATTACTGACGAGGACACTGAGGCCCCAAAAAGTTAAGGTTACATAGGTAGTAAGGGGCAGAGCCAAGATTTGAACCCAGATCCTCCAAATAAAAATTCTTCATTACATCATGCAGATACTAAAGCTACCCTACTCCAAAATAGGAATGCAATGAAGGTGACTATTTTGCATTGAATACAATCTTTCTCACTTTGATAATGGAACAATCATCAACTTCTCTGCCTTCTGAAGAGGAAGGTGTGTGAATAGAGAATCTGAGACAGATTCTGGGACCCAGTCCAGTTTCATCCTCAACTTGAACTGAAGATAATGCTTATTTCTGTACCTGCGCTAGGACTAGCAAAGACCTGAAGGTTCAGTACGTGATTCATAGCAGCAGCCTCACCACTCACTTCAAAGTTTGAAGCTCATTCCAGCAGGTTCTTTGAGGATTGGAGACATTCCAGGCAGGGAAATTGCTTTCTGTCCAATTTCATGTAAACTACACTCCCCTCCCTTGTTAAACTAAGAGACCAAGGTGTAAGCCAGATCTGAATAGAATCGCAGATGCCTCCTGATGCTGTTCCTTTTGGCCAACACATCAAAGGCTTTTAGAATCTTTTTTGGATTCCAAAAGATCATAGAATCCAAGTTAGAAGAGATTTCAGAGGCCAAGGATTTCAATTCTCTCATTTTTTATAGGTGAGGAAATTGAGGCCCAGAGAGGTTATTTAATTGCCCAAGATCATAAAAATCTTAAGCAGAACTAAAATTTGAACCCGGGACTACTGACTCTAAATCCAATACCCTTCCTCTGCAACTCCTTGTCCCTCAGGGCATGTCTTATATAAAACTGACAAGAGGGGGGAGGAGAGAGAAAGAGACAGAGAAGAGAGAGACAGACAGACAGACAGACAGACAGAGAATTTGTGTTTGGCCGCCACTGGATCCATTTTCAGCCTCATTTCTCCTCTTGCCTAACTGTAGCCTGACTTGGACATTTGTTCTTGGTTGCTAAAAAGTATTCTCTGTAGATGGTTAAAGTCATTATCCCCCTCCAATGGCATTTGAATTTTAACAGAAGAGTAAGCTTTTCAAGTTTCATTGCCCCCACCCTAGTTTGGGCCTACATTTTTTCTGATACCTAGATTATGATAAGAGTATCCAAACACATCTTTAATTCTCCAGTCTCTCCCCTTCCAATTTTCCTCACACACAGGTGCCCAATTTCTCTTCCTACTTCACTAGTCTTATCCTACCCCTCTGTTGCTCAAAACATTGAATGATTCCTCATTTGCCTACCGCATAAAAGCCTCAATGCAATCTGAAATTCAAAGCCCCATATGATCTGACTCCAACTCTCCCATCCAACATGACCTCCTACTACTTCAGATACTTTACCTCTAGCCAATTTAAAGTGCACAGACTTACAGGTATTTTTGCCATATAATAATTCCTTGCAAAAATTTAATAGACATCTGATCATAATAAAATGAATAAATATATAAAATTGAAATGCATATCTAGTACACATAAATAATAATAGAATAAAGGAAAAACACAATAAAGCATTGCATAATACCAACATTCTATTCAAGATTAAAATTACAACTGTTTCTCTATATACTTTTCTCTAAAAGTTCATTCTTTATGCTGCTTTACCCAACTGCTCTATGTATATATCCCTGCTCCATCTAATGGAATCCCACACTATCAGTTTCTTCAAGTCTGTATACATAGAGCTACCTGTGATTAGGATAACATTGTGTCACAAGTTGGCACCCATCCTCCCAGATCCCCAACTATCAATGCATCACAATATACCCTACAGCCTTCTTGAGCCAGATGCTGACAAACTATCTGATATTTCTCAATTTCACCAGCTCAAGCTGATTATAAGGTAGAGTATCTATTTTCAAAGGGTACAGTAATATCCATGATAGTTGTGGTAAGTTTTAGTTATCCAAAATTACTATATCCAGTCATAAAGTCTCTCTAAGTCCTGGAACCTCAGTTGTTTCTGGTACTCTAATAGCTACCACACTCCTCCCTAAGTGATCTATTCAATTTTTCCCAAAAATTTCTTGAGCTTTCCTACCTGAGTACATTTGCTCAAGTCATCCCTTAAATCCAAAGCCTTTATTGGACCATCTCCATTTGTTTAAATACTTTTATTCATCCTTTTATTTATCCATCTTTTTATTCCCAGGTCAAATATTTTTGTGGTTGTTTTCCATGAAATTTCCCCTTACCTGTTCAGACAGAAGTAATTCCTTCCTACTAAAAGCTCATAGCATCTTTTATCATGATCCCAAAAATGAAATACTATTTGTAAAGTGCTTGGCACAGTGCTTAGTATACTGTAGTCACTTAATAAATGCTTGCTCATTTTTCCTTTTCCTTCATTTGTATACATGTATCATCTCCCACGGGTTATTTATTTTCACATTTCTCCAAGTAGCCAGTACAATGCTTTGCATATCAACAGGTGCTTGATCAATAAGAATAATAATTATGATGATAGTGCTAATAATAATTATTATAACTTAAATTTATGCCATGCTTCAAAATGTAGACGGCACTTTACTCACAACAATCCTTTAGCATAGGTTGTAACAGCTTGTTTTGTAGATGAGGAATCTAAGGTTCAAAGAGAGATTTGGCTATCATCACACAGTAATGAGATATTAAGGCAAATATTATGACATTCATAGATGAGGAAACATGATCAGAGAGGTTTGCTAACTCCAAGTTGAGGACTTTTTCTGAAATGAATTGAAGAATCAAATTAATTATTCAAGTCAAGAAGCATTAATTAAGCACGTCTTACATGCTGGACACTGTGCTAAGTGCTAGAAATACAAATACAGGCAAAAAGAGATAGTCTCTGCCCACAAGGTGCTTATATGATAATGGGACAATACAATATGATAACTAAAAGGGAGCTGAAAATGTGTTGAATGTGGGAGATACTCAGGAAGGGGGATGGTGATGAAGTCCCCAGAGTGAAAGGTGGCTGTTCTGGGCCCTTCCTCAAAATGGAGGAAATTAGAAGTAAGAATTAGCCAATGGGAGAATTGAGGGTCATTGGAGGAGGGAGAAAGTAGCTAAGGCATGATGATGAAACACAGATAATGAAGAATGGCTGCTCTGGGCCCTTCCTCAAAATTAAGGTCCAAGGAAGGAATCATCAACAGGAGAAGGGGGCCATTAATAAACAGGTCTTTTTAAGAATCCACTATGGCATTAAGCACTCTACTAGGTGTTGGGAATATCTTTTAATTGACTTTCAGGCTTCAAGAGAGTTTTTATTTTTTATTATTTCTCATTTTAGTTTTTATTTTTAATCTATAGTCTTCTTGATCCAATTCCCTCCAATCACATCTTTTAGTCAGTTATCTCCTTGGCCTATGCATGGCTCCAGCCTTGCCCACATTCCTTCATCCTTTCTAAAGTGAGGAACTGTTTTCAATTGTACCTACATACGGGGATCTTACTTTTGTTGGTGACTACATCTGATAGATTTCATACTTCCAGACATGATGAAATCACTGGAAAATATAACGGCAGGCAGTCTCCAGGGGTCACATAAACACATGGGGCATTATCATAATTGTCACTAATAACCATCAGAATCAAGCTGAGGATCCTATGTTAATACATACTTGATACAATCTCCCTTGGTGTTCCCCAGTGGTTTACAAGATCTCTGTTCCTTCCATCCCTGACATTCGATTCCAATAAACTAAGACAGAAAAATAACTTGAGAAAAAGATTTCATTCCTGTCAAAGCAAACAGTGCTAGGAAGTTTGGCAGTTACTCAAAGCCAGGCTTGGAGAAAGGAAGTTAAGTGGAGAGGGAAAGCAGTAAACTTCTTTTTCAGCAGCTCAGCCTCCTTACAGCTTTCTCCAATTCAAAGCCCACCTCATTCATAGAGCGGTGTAACAAAAAAAGAGTCTTTCTGGAGCTGGGGGGTGGGGAGCATTTATATAGTACCTACTGTGTGTCAGGCACTGTGCTAAGAGCTTTACAAATATTAACTTATCTGATCCTCGGTGAGGTCCCCAGTCTTGGCCTAAACTCACTCCAAGAAACTGCAAGGGGTAACATAAAGATCCCCTATAGAGTATGACACATCTCATCTTGTGGAGGAAGGGAAAGTAGAGACCAGACAACCTCTAAGTTCCAAGTCTATGATACTTTGACTCATGCGAGGCCCAGGAAATAAAATTCATTTTCATTTTTTAGCTTGAAAACTAGACATCAACTAAATCAACCACATATGTTATAACCCTCCTAACTACTCTAGTAAGTTGAGTTCCCTCCTTTACATGGAAGCCATTCCTTACTTCTCAACTTTCCCCATAGTTTTCCAGGATTTTAAGTAGAGTCCATCTAGTGGATTCATACTGGATTCCCAACACATAAAAATAAGTGCAAAGATCTCAAGCACACAACTAAACAGAAAATAAACAAGGCATGATTTCATAGAAAAGAGCAAAACAGTGTCTGACAGCGGGACACATTAAAAGGCACGAAAAGAACTGGGCAGCAGATGGACTTCATATATCTGGATATCTCATTTACATACAAGAGTAAACAGAGAGAAAGGGACAATTAGACTACAGTCCAGTTTGAAGACAGAGGGCGAGACCAAATCAATATCCCAGAGTACCTGTCAGTGTTATCCTCGATTCAACCTGCCTTTGTGACCACGACCTTCTCCATTTTTTTTCAAGGCGTCTTTCATGCAACGTATTGCTCTCATTCCACTATTCTGGTTGAGAGTCTCTCTCTCCTTACTTCCTTGGGAGATTTAAGGTAGTCTTCTTAGGTTGGTCCCTTCGTCTGAGTCCTATTTTCCCTCAAAATCATTTCTCCAGAATTCCTTGCCTTTGTGGTGCTCTGAGACAGACATCCAGAGTTGGAAATGAACAGTACTCATCAGACCCAACTATTACAACAGAACGGAGGCAGAGGAATCAGAGCTCATTAAATCTGATGCCACAAACAGGAAGGAAGGAGAATCAAAAAGCTTCCCAAGATCTGTCAGCATCTGCAGCCAACAAGTCTCCCACACAGAGAGAAGATTGAGCGACCCGGCCAAAAGGGGAAAAGCGAATTATGGACTTCTTCAGGAAGCTGATTGAATGGGTCCTGACTCCTAAGCCACACATGTACAATATCTTCATGCCACCCCACACACACTTTTTTTTAAATTTCCTTGGCCAAAGTGACCAGAATGTTGGTGCCAGGATGGATTCAGGAGGCAGCTTTATTAAATGGACTAGGCCTGGGAGATACAGGTGCTTTCCTCGTTCTCTTAAAACATAGCCTGTCAGTCAGTTTCCCCTCTGCCTAAACTCACTCCAAGAAACTGCCATTTTCTTTCCTACTGTCTTTCAAAAATTGTCCTGCCTAGCTAATAGCAAAAACCCACACAGGAAGTTTTTAAAATCAGTAGGGGCTCGTTGGTTTTTCAAATAGTACCTGGAGGTGTGATTGATGAAAAATTACCACCTGTCATCAGTCACTCCATGGGGAACTCCATTCAGTCAAACTTAACCAAACCTTTTATTCCCCAGGTTTGCTACCCCCAGCAGCTAAATGACTGTCAGCTGCCCATTCCAATCTTACTATGGTAACTGGGAATAAAATATGTATATATATATATGCATGTGTGTATATACATATACATATAATATATATATATGTGTGTGTGTGTGTGTGTGTGTGTGTGTATATAGTCAGAATAATTCCATCACCCCAACTGATCAAATTGCCAGGTTTTTTTGTGCTCTGTATGTAATAAGACACCCCCTCCCAGAGCTGTGTCTCCAACCCTACTTATGTGTCAGTCAGAGCAAAGCATGAAATCTTAAGTTTTAACTTTTTAAAAGAAAAGTCAATTTCCTCCTCTTCCCCCACTATAGAAACATCAGGTTGTCTAATTGAGCAAGTTATTTTCTGAGTTTTTCAAGTTTTCTCTCTCTCACTTACTACTCAAGACATTTGGCTGCACTCTTTGCAACCCTCTCTAAGCCCTTTGTCTTATAGACAAGGAAACTGAGGCCCATAGAGCTGGAGTGCCTTGCTTGAAGTCATACAGTTAGAAAGCTGCTCTTATACTATTTAAATCCACAGCCAGTGACTGAGCCTTCTAAGCTAGCAGTGAATCTCCTTAAAAAGTCATCTTGCGCCTATTCATGGGTGGGGAACCTTTGGCCTGGAAGCCACATGTGGCCCTCTAGGTTCTCAAGTTTAACTCTTTAACTGGATCCAAACTTCACAGAATAAATCCTTTTATTAAGGGAATTATAGGCATTATAGAGTATTATAGGCCTTGTATATTCCTTGGGAAGTAGTAAGGTCCCCTTCACTAGAGGTTTTCAAGCAAAAACTGGATATGCATTTGGCAGGTATGTGATAGAGGACATTCTTGCGCAGGTGAAGTTTGGAGTTTCTAATCAGCTCAACCTCACATTCAAACTCTTCATAATATCTTTCTTCCTTTCTCTTTCTTCCTTCTTTCCCTTCTTTCTTCCTTCCCTCCTTTGCTTCTTCCTTCCCTATTTTCTTCCTCCTTTCCTTTCTTCCTTTGCTCTTCCATTTTCCTTCCTTCCATCTATTCTTCTTCTTGCCTGTATAGTCTACATTACCCACATCATAAATTCTCTATTCAAGTCAAGCTAGTGTCTTATCATATTCCAACCACAGGATGCTCATTTCTACGACCATTCCTTTCCTTGTATCATATCTCTAGGGTGACCTGGGATATATGAAGTAGAAACAGAGCATGATCCTGCAAGGGAAGGTTATAATAATATGGATCCACATTTATACAATGCCTTAAGACTTGCAAAGCATTGTCCTCAAAACAACCCTAAAAAGAAGGTAATACAGGTACATCCCCACTTTGCAGAAGAGAAAATTGAGGTGTTCCACAACTGAGAAGTGATTTGCCTGTAGTCAAACAACTGATAAATGTCTGAAGTAGGATTCAAAACCAGATGTCCTGAGATTTTCAGTTCTTTGACACCACAAAAAGAGCTGCTATAAACATTTTAGAACATATAATGAAAGGCTTGATGATTTTAGAAAAACATGAAAAGACTTGCATGAAATAATGAGCAGAACCAAGAGAACATAGTATGTAGTAACAGCAATATTGTTTTAAGAATGACTTTGAGCAAATAAGTTATTTTGTCTATTATAAATATCCAAATTAACTACAAAGGACATATGAAGAAAGATACTATTTTCATCCAGAGAAAGAACTGATAAATAGACATATGTATACAATGATCTAACATCCATGTGTGTGTGGATACATATATATTTGTGTCTAATGGTAGACATCTCTGGAGTGGGGGGGAGAAAAATTTACATGACTATTTTGTTGTATGTTTGAAAGGAACAGCAAGTTGTGCATAGTAGATTTGCAGTTTCATGTGCAATCATCTTTTTTATTGTACTATGTTATGAAAACGCTTGTTTTAGTCCATAAATTCAAAGTAAAATAAAATAAATTAAAAAACAGGTGTCCTAAGTCTAGGTCCAGCAATCTATCTACATTGCCAAATATCTAGGGAAATGTCACCAATATGGGAAGTTATAAGGATTCCAAATTAGGCAGACATATGAACATTGAATCAGAAAATTTAAACCATGAGGAAGGGGGATAGAGGGTGGTGCAGATGTGAAGATTACAAAATGAGAGACAAATCAAAGAAGGAAAAAATCTGAGTCACTAGGTCTGAGTTAAGCACAGAGCTAGCTGGAATGAAGTCTAAAATGAAGAATGTTGTTGTTCAGTCATTTCAGTCATGTCTGACTTTTCAGGACCCCATTTGGGGTTTTCTTGGCAAAGGTACTAGAGTGGTTTGCCATTTCCTTCTCTAGCTCATTTTACTGATGAGGAAACTGAGGCAAACAGGATTAAGTAACTTGCCCAGCATTACACAGCTAATAAGTATCTGAGACCAGACTTGAACTCAGGAAGATGAGTTAGGGTTTGGGTTAGACTACTCAAAAGCAATTGAGAACACTTCCTCCTCAGCTATCACAACCTACCTACCCTTAATCATATTGACTGGGCAATGACATATAGTTCATTCTATTCCCTCCCACCTGGAAATCTATCTCTTGTCTTCTTAATTTATGCACATCCTACCCAGCCATACACCAAGTCACACCTCAAAACCCTCTACTCCCAGTAGGCTCCCCTATCTACTCCAGCCCAATTGATCCTTTGATTAGATTTAATGGTGATCAATTCCACCAATATGTGTTAGGTTCCTCCTGTGTATAGAACAGGGCAGCTAAGTGGTACAGGTGGACAGAACACTGGGCTTGGAATCAGGAAGACTCATCTTCACGAGTTCAAATCTGGCCTCAGACACTTACTAGCTGTGTGACCCTAGGCAAGTCACTTAATCCTCTTTACCTCAGTTCCTCATCTGTGAAATGGGCTAGAGAAGGAAATGGCAATCCACTCCAGTATCTTTGTCAAATGGGGTCACAGAGAATCAGACACAACTGAAATGACTCAGCAATAAAAATGTATACAGCAGTTAAGTGCTAAGGATACAGAACTTGAAAATGGCACATCCTCAAGGATCATATAGTCCCATCTCTTAACTGCTCTAATACTTAGTAACCCATACCTGAGCACTTAATTCTACATTTGCCTATTTTATTCTCATTTTTCACATTTGTGAGTCATGTCTGCAATAGAATCATAGCTTCACAGTGCCATAGAACATAAAGCATTGAAAGAATATTAGAAATCCACCAAGCCCAACCCTCTTACTTTACAAAAGAGAAAATTAAAGCCCAGGGGGTAAAGAAAATTGCTCACAGTCAAACCACCAGTAAGCAGCAGTGGAAGGATTCAAATCCAGGTCTTCTGACTCCAAAGCCAATGATTCTCCCCTTAAGGTCTCCCCTAAAGTGCATGGCACATATACCCTTTCTCTCCTGCCTTCATTTGCCACATCATACCTTCACCCAAGGTTAGCCAAACTCTTAGCAATGCCTCCCTTTGGCAAAGGATCATTTCTGAAAGTCTGCAAAAGTATCCCCTTTGGAATCACCATAGAAAAGGCATACTTGGTTTTTGCATATGTATTATATCTATGCATACTCTGCATGTATATAATATGTCATATATGCTCTGGGAGATAGGAAAGAAAGCTCTCTATAATGGGGAGGTACTATAGTGAATTATCCTTGAGGTTAAACTTTTGCATGGTGGCATCCCAAAGCATGAAAAGGAAAAAAAAAGATGGAGAATGTGGAACAACCCTGGACTGCCTGAGGGACAGCTGGGAATAGCATGCAGAGAGCACGGAAGACAGGAGGAGCAGAGAGATCAGGCATCCACGGGCAGTTCTGCAGTGTCTTCAGTTGAAGAGAGTACAAGTTCAAGGTCAAGTGTCTCTCGAAGGCCCCATGCTACCACAATTCCAGTGAAGCCCAGGTGCCAAGGTTAGCCTTCAACTGAAAGGAATACCAATGAAGAAAGAAAGAATGATTATCATATCAGCCAGTTGGGAGTGGCTCCTAGGGAATCATTATAGTTTCCAGGGAGAGCCGGGAGTGAGCTCTTCTTGGATAAATTGTGACACCTGCTGGTTTTTAATAAAGAAAATCCAGATTGCATGTTTTGGGGAGAAATGAGTTTATGGGGTTCTATGGCAGCAGGGATTGCTGCTCTAATGACTAGATCCTTCCCAGTAGACCCTGCCAAAAAAATATCTCACCAAAAGTGAGTTTATATGGCAGTTTCAGAGAGAAAAAAAAGATTAACATGGGGGTTAACACATCAGCAAAGTATCCCGAATTTTAAATATTTCCTTTAGAAAACTACATGTAATAAGAATAGTAACACTAATAATAGTAATATTGAACATGTATATAGAATTTTATATTTTAAAAACACCGTTTC